AGCACACACAAGAAGGGTAAGCTAGATAAATAAGACAATTCATATATATTATGTTACAAATTCAAGCATTAGTTCAAAAATTAAACCATAACAATCCATTCATCCTATATATGCCATAACCTAGACAAGACTCATCTGGATTAGATATGAATGTCGAACTATTGGTAATTTGTGCACTTCTAAGTGTAATATTGTTGGATGAAAGCCTAGGGTCATGATCAAAGCCTATAAACAACAACCTCCCGCTACTCTCACCACATGACTGACACATCTCTAATTGAGAATAAATGATCATTAGAGTGTCAAAATAGACCACAAATACAAAGCTTCATACGTTCATACACAACAACAACAGGCACGACCATGTAACCTCTTCATAAGTCATGGAATTACATTCATCAACCATACTTCTAACGTATATATATATATATATATATATATATATAACCTTAAGAATAAATTATCATAAAATATAACAGATGCTTCTACTCCATCATCAAAGTACTATCATAGTTCAAAGTTATAAGAAAACAAAGAAAAAAAGAAAGAACACATTTTCTGGACTTGTCGCTCAACGTCCAAGCTCGTTGTGCGAATATAGAAACAGTGGGTTTTGCTCGCTCAGTGGCTACCCTCTCGCTAAGCTAGACATAGTTCCACTCGCTTGATAACGGTTGATTTTACGTGTTTTTGTGTGTATATTTTGTTAATAAATCAACTCTTTCATAGCTTTTACCTTTTTTATCCTAAAGTTTAGTGTGTTTTCTAGTTTTCTTGTGTTTTATTTGGTATATGCTTGTTTTTACCTCTAATCTCTTTGTTTGAGTGTGTGAAATAAATAAATAGGAAGCAATTCTAGTGGAGGAAAACAAGCAAGAACTCAAGGAAACGTGTTTTGGGATAATAAAAGATCAATTTGAAGCAAATACCCATGTTGGATGCCATTGGAATTGCACAAGAACTCAAATTTTAGAATGTTGTCATAACTGCCTAGGTCTGAGCGCCACTTTCCAACGCTGAGCGCCACACTAACAGAGAGCTCCCAGTGGTTCTGGCGTCAAGCATCACTTTCTACCGCTGAGCGCCACATTTCCAAAGAGTTGCCACGAAGGTTGGTGTTGAGCGCCAGAGTTTTACCGCTGAGCAATGGCGACGCTGACATGTCAAAATGGATTATTTAAGCATGGTTCTCGCGAGTTTTGGTGATTCTTCTCCTCCTACACTTCATTCTTCTAGAGAGATTGGGAGAGGCCCTTAGATGTTGTTTGGGGTGTTTGGAAGCTCTCCCACTCCTCTTTGGGTCTTCAAGCTTCATCAATGGTGATTTTGCCCCTTTTGGATTGAGGAAGAAGATGGGTCACGAATTGGAGATGGAATTGCGAAGGGGAGGCGCAAATGGAGCATGGAGCAGCTGCTAAGAACCTTGAGGAAGGTTGTTCATCTTCTCTTTGGTTCCAATTTCTGCCATATCTCTTCAATTTTGTAGAACCCTAAGTTCTTCACCATGGAGGATTTTTTCTATTTGCTGACATTAATTGTAAAACATGGACTTCTTATGTATTTTGTGATGTTAATGATATATGCTTTTCCAATTCATGTTAGTATTCAATTTTTATGCTTAATGTTTGCCTTGGATTAATCGTCCAAGCATAAATTGTGGTTCTTAATGTATTGAGAAATATGATTTGAACCTAGAATTGAAATTGAATACATATTGGATGGAATTGAGATGTTTGTGAATGCATGAGAATGAAATGGATGAATTCTAGTCTGTACAAATTGTAAATACACTATGTTAAATTCCTTGCACACCAATTGTTCGATAAAATACTAAAAAGAGTTTCTTGTGTTGTTGTGTGCCCTTTGATGTCTAATTGAGTTATAAAAGGAAGAATTGTCATGTGTTGCAAGAGTCCCTTGGGAGATAATGATATTTATAACTTCCTACGCTGCGATCGGTGCACTTGTCATTGGTTTTGCAGCCAACAAGTTTTTCGCTCAGCGGTTACACTCGCTTAGCGAGACTGCATAATCCTGCATCATCTAAAGAATTTACACCCCTCAACCCTTCATGACCTATCATATGCATCTTTCCCAACTTCTAATAGTCCTAGATTGTATTCTAAACTAAGATTGACCTAACCAAATATATCTAAACCAACCTAAACTCATTTTAAAGTAATTGATTACAAGATTCCAATCCAAAAATTAACCAAAACCTCACTTTAGAGACCCAAATTGAATTCCACAAGTCATAGCTTATTTTTAAACTACTTAGAGACTACAACAAGTCACAAATGACTTACCAACACCCTTTAAAATGACCCTTTATACACATAACCAAAAATTCAAAATCTCATTGGTCCAAACCCCTAAAACTAGTTTCAAACCAAGCTAAACTTAACATATCTACCACCAAACACTCTTGCATCAGATTTCCCCCATTTCAACATCAAAACCAGTTTTAAAAGACCAAATAACTAAACCCCAAACTTCTGATTTTCCTACCTAACACTTATATCAAATTTCACATGTCAAAACCTCCTTATTTGAACTTAAAACTTTCTAAAACCATCACATTGACCCATACCAAGTTCCTTATCAGATTTATTCCAACTCATGGTGCTAACAAACCTCAAATGACATATAAACATACTGACAATACCATATTTTTCCATCCAAACACTATGTCACCAAAATGCATATAAAACCCCCCATTTTTTACCTTAAAACCTAATCGAAAGAACACTTCTTTAAACCAATCACTTTGCATTTAGTTCCAAACATTAGAATAACTTCATTACACATAATCAATACATTTTTAAACATCACAAACATACAATTCCAACATACCAACAAAACACTATCAAATCATCAATTACATATAATCTTCATATATCCAAACATAGCAATTTCTCAAAATTTAACTACTATACATATAGATATAAATTCTTATAATATAATCACAAACTAAAACAAAGGTTCTAGCTTCCCTTACCTTATAAAACTCCTACAGTTCTATGAATCTAGAACTGTTGTTTCACCACAAGGAACTTCTAAAAAAACCTACAAATCACCAATTAGAAAACTTTTTTTTAATTTGTTACTTATTTGTACTTTTTTTATCAGCATATATTTGTACTTGTAATTTACCAAATTAATTAAATAGGAAAGCAAATATAAAATTGTAAATAATTTTATTAAATTTTTTCTTCAACCAAAAGACACGAGGAAGTTCCATTTTATTTAGTTTAATGTGAGTTTTATTCTACTAAGATAAAGGTGCACCTGACAAGATTTAATTTAAGGTGTGCTTAACTCTTCACGACCCAATTAGAGATGTATTTAAGGTGACTCAATTTAAGGTGCATTTGACTTGTCTCTTTTCGAAGTATACCCAACTCGACTATATTTCATGATATTCAACTCAACTCGTCTGTCTAACTTAACAAACTTATATTCATATAAATATTTTACTGAAAAAAAAGACACATAGTTGATACCGATCTGTATCGTATAAATTCAGGACCGAACGGTTACCATCAAGGACCGTTCGGTTCATCCACTCAAGGCCACCAGGTCACCTCCATAATAATGGTCAACCAGGTCCCAACCAGGTCAAATGGATTCTATGGATGTTGGGCCATAATTGGGTCAACATTTAAGTTACTGGGCCAATAGTCCAGCAGATAATAAAATAACCAAAGATATCTGATTAAAGATATTGATAAGCTATTTACGAGCAACTGACCGAATCTAGAAGTAAGTATGTTTATATTCTGTTTATATTTTATTGGGCTTATGTCAGCTTAAAGTCCATGAGACAACTTATAAATAGAGAGCTAGGGCTAAAGTTTCTCTCATATGCTAAATTCACTTCTCTCATACTTTTGCCTACTCATTATTCATTCTCTCTCATTCTCAAATACTCAAATAGTGATCATCCTTCACTGTGTATTCTCTCAAGAGTTAAAACTCCACCACAACACACCTAACTTGAGCGTCGAAGTGCCTTTTGCAGGTACCTCCTCCCTTGCTCCGAAGGAGACCGATCGGTTTACTCCAATACCGATTGGCCAATAGTAGGAGTTGAAGACGACCGCACGGCTTGAGCAGTAGGAAGGCAAGCGATTTCAGAGTTTGGAAGCGGGAAGACACGTCAGCAGGTTAGTCTTTCGATCCCAATAAAATTTTACCAAACCCGTATAGGGGTAATTGACATGTACAATTTATTTCTACTCATAAATTCACATCACAAATATTTATTAGATCAAAAGTATACAAAAAAATGATTATTTAGTAGTTTATTTTCCATTTTGAAGAGTTTTTAACCTTTCGCAAATTAATTTTTGGAAATTTTTCTATCGAGAGTTTTAATCTTTTTTATTAGTAACTATTATTTTACAGAGGTTTAACACTTCTTTTATTTATAATTGTCCACCATAATTTCTTAATTTAATAAAATCTAATTTTTATAATAAGAAATAGATAGAATATATAAAATTGTAAAATACACAAAAATAATTCAAAAATAATTTTATTAATAATTTAAAATATCATACATTCATTCACAATTACAATGTAAATATAAAAAGAAATACATAATGTTTAAATAACATTGCTAAGATTGACAAAGAAAAAACTAACAGTCAAAAACTACTACATCAATTAAAAACATATAAACTAATGTTGATGACCTAAACAAAATCCCTAACACAGATAAAAGCTTAACATGAGACCAATAGCTCTGCATTTTCTTCCTGTCGTGCAAAGTAAAAGAGTTTCACTTCATCAACTACTTCCCTTAAACTCATTCCTCCACCACTACCTTTTTCAAAACTCCCTATAATTTGATACCAACAATATGTATATGCTCAACAAGTCATTGTTAGTAGACTCCCCTGCTTCCATTGCTTCTAATCTTTGATTGATGATATACATATGAAATTTTGTGAGATTGTAAGCATGATAAACAAGATGAACAATGGATTCATCATCCATTTCTGAACCTGCAAAGCTGAGATTCTCCATACAACAGAAATTTATGACAATATGCAAACTCGAAAAAACAAGATAAATATATGAAAAGGAATTTACCTGTCTTTGATGCTGGCAGTAGGTTGCATCATCTCTTTCTTGAAAACAACATATGCTCCACATCTCAGTGAATTTGTTAAGATAAACCAATGGAGTCCACCCAATCAACTAAAAAAATGAAAACATCTAATTCAGGAATCCACCATTGAACAAAATAGGAAGAAAACAAAACAGAACTGATAAAGAAGTAGCAGAATATTAGCTAGAGCTTTAAGTTAAGAAAACAAAACTAAAAGTAAGCTAACACTATTCATACCTTTTATATATTGATAATACTTTCATTGTTTTATTTTTAACTCATTTTACCATGAATAAGCACTCTTCATTACTCATATGCCTTGTTTTCCCACTCATTCAAAAGAAGATGCAAAAACTCAACATTGTTACAACTTTAAACATAAAAAGAAATCTTACTTTTGCATTAGCCTGGACTCCACAACTAAGTAAAGTGCACAAAATAAGTCACTGAAAGATGTATTTCAATAAGGACGTTAAGTTTAATATAAAATTTAAGTGTGAATTTAAAACATTGAATAAAATTAAAAAATTATGTAAAATATATAAAAATTAAAATGTATAAATTTATTGTTTTAAAATTTTGAATTAAAAATATAAAAAGTTTGAGTTCGTATCTCACGGTGTGATTTGTCAGATAATTTTGCAACGTCGTATTCTCAAAAAACATTCGTGTGATTCTCTCTGTTTTGGATTATGTCCAAAAACATGACCATCACTTTCTAAGGTTATTCATCCAAAACTCAAATATTCTGTGTTTGGCTTTATCTTCAGCTTTGTATAAGTTTATGACTGTGTTAATATTTATAAGTCAGTCTCTCAGTAATATAATAGTTAAAATCATTATGACAGTGCTTCAAAATTTAAGTTAACCTAAATTCATAAAAACTATTTAGACAGAAGTGATTGTGTATTCATAACCACCACCAAGTCAGATTCCCACCCACTTTATGAGAGCACCACATGTTTGTAAAAATGCCATCACTTATCTTAACTCAATGCTAAACACCACCACACAATAAAATATCAGTTCTGCGTCTCTACCAAACTCCACCACACTACCTTAAATCACAAACTAACATCCTACAAACTCAGACACTATATGTAAGAACCCTTTCATTTCACCTTATGTGATCCCTCCATGCTGTCTATCTTCCCATTATGTCAATCCTTCACCTGGATGACAAGAAATAAAAAAGAGAAATAAGAACAAAAAAAATCCAATAACAATCAACAGTATAGTGTTATCATTCAAATTGTCACTTAGCATTAGTTATTAAGAACTTCCACACCTGCAGAAAGTAGCACACCACTGAATATCGTGCAATACTTTCAATATTTTAAACACTTTTTATATGAAATAAGACTTCAACTGATGGAGAAAGCAACTTATATGATGATAACTAAAATGAGAGTGAAATGCAATACAGTAGGTAGTGGAGGTGTAGTATACCCAGGCTTGAGTTGCTGCAGTCACCAAAGTGGAAAAAACTCACTTTTTCATTAATTATGAATAAATTATGAGAACACCAATGTGTGAATAAGATAGGGTTTTAAGGTCAGAACAGAGCACATGGTTTTATGGTCAGAGAAATCACAACATTTACAACCACTCAATCAAATTATTCCAACTATTCAAAAGGAGTATTCTTCAACCATCACCCTACTTATATTATCATTATCACTGTTATCCCATTCTTTTATCCTCAAGCTAGTTGTTTCTCACAAATTTGATTCACTACATCGGTTAGAATCATTAAAATGATATATAAATTATAAAAGTCAATGAAACCTACACTTCACATACTTATTATCTTACCTTCTAGCACTGAACCTTCAGGAGCATCTTTATATGCTCATTTGCAGGCGGCTTCAATTCCTTCAGAAGCATATCTGAAAAAACCCACTAAAGCTATCAAACAGATATGTTTCAATAACATATATAGACCAACTATAGAAGCTGGGTACAACATTTTTCTTGNAAATTCAAAATCTCATTGGTCCAAACCCCTAAAACTAGTTTCAAACCAAGCTAAACTTAACATATCTACCACCAAACACTCTTGCATCAGATTTCCCCCATTTCAACATCAAAACCAGTTTTAAAAGACCAAATAACTAAACCCCAAACTTCTGATTTTCCTACCTAACACTTATATCAAATTTCACATGTCAAAACCTCCTTATTTGAACTTAAAACTTTCTAAAACCATCACATTGACCCATACCAAGTTCCTTATCAGATTTATTCCAACTCATGGTGCTAACAAACCTCAAATGACATATAAACATACTGACAATACCATATTTTTCCATCCAAACACTATGTCACCAAAATGCATATAAAACCCCCCATTTTTTACCTTAAAACCTAATCGAAAGAACACTTCTTTAAACCAATCACTTTGCATTTAGTTCCAAACATTAGAATAACTTCATTACACATAATCAATACATTTTTAAACATCACAAACATACAATTCCAACATACCAACAAAACACTATCAAATCATCAATTACATATAATCTTCATATATCCAAACATAGCAATTTCTCAAAATTTAACTACTATACATATAGATATAAATTCTTATAATATAATCACAAACTAAAACAAAGGTTCTAGCTTCCCTTACCTTATAAAACTCCTACAGTTCTATGAATCTAGAACTGTTGTTTCACCACAAGGAACTTCTAAAAAAACCTACAAATCACCAATTAGAAAACTTTTTTTTAATTTGTTACTTATTTGTACTTTTTTTATCAGCATATATTTGTACTTGTAATTTACCAAATTAATTAAATAGGAAATCAAATCTAAAATTGTAAATAATTTTATTAAATTTTTTCTTCAACCAAAAGACACGAGGAAGTTCCATTTTATTTAGTTTAATGTGAGTTTTATTCTACTAAGATAAAGGTGCACCTGACAAGATTTAATTTAAGGTGTGCTTAACTCTTCACGACCCAATTAGAGATGTATTTAAGGTGACTCAATTTAAGGTGCATTTGACTTGTCTCTTTTCGAAGTATACCCAACTCGACTATATTTCATGATATTCAACTCAACTCGTCTGTCTAACTTAACAAACTTATATTCATATAAATATTTTACTGAAAAAAAAGACACATAGTTGATACCGATCTGTATCGTATAAATTCAGGACCGAACGGTTACCATCAAGGACCGTTCGGTTCATCCACTCAAGGCCACCAGGTCACCTCCATAATAATGGTCAACCAGGTCCCAACCAGGTCAAATGGATTCTATGGATGTTGGGCCATAATTGGGTCAACATTTAAGTTACTGGGCCAATAGTCCAGCAGATAATAAAATAACCAAAGATATCTGATTAAAGATATTGATAAGCTATTTACGAGCAACTGACCGAATCTAGAAGTAAGTATGTTTATATTCTGTTTATATTTTATTGGGCTTATGTCAGCTTAAAGTCCATGAGACAACTTATAAATAGAGAGCTAGGGCTAAAGTTTCTCTCATATGCTAAATTCACTTCTCTCATACTTTTGCCTACTCATTATTCATTCTCTCTCATTCTCAAATAGTGATCATCCTTCACTGTGTATTCTCTCAAGAGTTAAAACTCCACCACAACACACCTAACTTGAGCGTCGAAGTGCCTTTTGCAGGTACCTCCTCCCTTGCTCCGAAGGAGACCGATCGGTTTACTCCAATACCGATTGGCCAATAGTAGGAGTTGAAGACGACCGCACGGCTTGAGCAGTAGGAAGGCAAGCGATTTCAGAGTTTGGAAGCGGGAAGACACGTCAGCAGGTTAGTCTTTCGATCCCAATAAAATTTTACCAAACCCGTATAGGGGTAATTGACATGTACAATTTATTTCTACTCATAAATTCACATCACAAATATTTATTAGATCAAAAGTATACAAAAAAATGATTATTTAGTAGTTTATTTTCCATTTTGAAGAGTTTTTAACCTTTCGCAAATTAATTTTTGGAAATTTTTCTATCGAGAGTTTTAATCTTTTTTATTAGTAACTATTATTTTACAGAGGTTTAACACTTCTTTTATTTATAATTGTCCACCATAATTTCTTAATTTAATAAAATCTAATTTTTATAATAAGAAATAGATAGAATATATAAAATTGTAAAATACACAAAAATAATTCAAAAATAATTTTATTAATAATTTAAAATATCATACATTCATTCACAATTACAATGTAAATATAAAAAGAAATACATAATGTTTAAATAACATTGCTAAGATTGACAAAGAAAAAACTAACAGTCAAAAACTACTACATCAATTAAAAACATATAAACTAATGTTGATGACCTAAACAAAATCCCTAACACAGATAAAAGCTTAACATGAGACCAATAGCTCTGCATTTTCTTCCTGTCGTGCAAAGTAAAAGAGTTTCACTTCATCAACTACTTCCCTTAAACTCATTCCTCCACCACTACCTTTTTCAAAACTCCCTATAATTTGATACCAACAATATGTATATGCTCAACAAGTCATTGTTAGTAGACTCCCCTGCTTCCATTGCTTCTAATCTTTGATTGATGATATACATATGAAATTTTGTGAGATTGTAAGCATGATAAACAAGATGAACAATGGATTCATCATCCATTTCTGAACCTGCAAAGCTGAGATTCTCCATACAACAGAAATTTATGACAATATGCAAACTCGAAAAAACAAGATAAATATATGAAAAGGAATTTACCTGTCTTTGATGCTGGCAGTAGGTTGCATCATCTCTTTCTTGAAAACAACATATGCTCCACATCTCAGTGAATTTGTTAAGATAAACCAATGGAGTCCACCCAATCAACTAAAAAAATGAAAACATCTAATTCAGGAATCCACCATTGAACAAAATAGGAAGAAAACAAAACAGAACTGATAAAGAAGTAGCAGAATATTAGCTAGAGCTTTAAGTTAAGAAAACAAAACTAAAAGTAAGCTAACACTATTCATACCTTTTATATCTTGATAATACTTTCATTGTTTTATTTTTAACTCATTTTACCATGAATAAGCACTCTTCATTACTCATATGCCTTGTTTTCCCACTCATTCAAAAGAAGATGCAAAAACTCAACATTGTTACAACTTTAAACATAAAAAGAAATCTTACTTTTGCATTAGCCTGGACTCCACAACTAAGTAAAGTGCACAAAATAAGTCACTGAAAGATGTATTTCAATAAGGACGTTAAGTTTAATATAAAATTTAAGTGTGAATTTAAAACATTGAATAAAATTAAAAAATTATGTAAAATATATAAAAATTAAAATGTATAAATTTATTGTTTTAAAATTTTGAATTAAAAATATAAAAAGTTTGAGTTCGTATCTCACGGTGTGATTTGTCAGATAATTTTGCAACGTCGTATTCTCAAAAAACATTCGTGTGATTCTCTCTGTTTTGGATTATGTCCAAAAACATGACCATCACTTTCTAAGGTTATTCATCCAAAACTCAAATATTCTGTGTTTGGCTTTATCTTCAGCTTTGTATAAGTTTATGACTGTGTTAATATTTATAAGTCAGTCTCTCAGTAATATAATAGTTAAAATCATTATGATAGTGCTTCAAAATTTAAGTTAACCTAAATTCATAAAAACTATTTAGACAGAAGTGATTGTGTATTCATAACCACCACCAAGTCAGATTCCCACCCACTTTTTGAGAGCACCACATGTTTGTAAAAATGCCATCACTTATCTTAGCTCAATGCTAAACACCACCACACAATAAAATATCAGTTCTGCGTCTCTACCAAACTCCACCACACTACCTTAAATCACAAACTAACATCCTACAAACTCAGACACTATATGTAAGAACCCTTTCATTTCACCTTATGTGATCCCTCCATGCTGTCTATCTTCCCATTATGTCAATCCTTCACCTGGATGACAAGAAATAAAAAAGAGAAATAAGAACAAAAAAAATCCAATAACAATCAACAGTATAGTGTTATCATTCAAATTGTCACTTAGCATTAGTTATTAAGAACTTCCACACCTGCAGAAAGTAGCACACCACTGAATATCGTGCAATACTTTCAATATTTTAAACACTTTTTATATGAAATAAGACTTCAACTGATGGAGAAAGCAACTTATATGATGATAACTAAAATGAGAGTGAAATGCAATACAGTAGGTAGTGGAGGTGTAGTATACCCAGGCTTGAGTTGCTGCAGTCACCAAAGTGGAAAAAACTCACTTTTTCATTAATTATGAATAAATTATGAGAACACCAATGTGTGAATAAGATAGGGTTTTAAGGTCAGAACAGAGCACATGGTTTTATGGTCAGAGAAATCACAACATTTACAACCACTCAATCAAATTATTCCAACTATTCAAAAGGAGTATTCTTCAACCATCACCCTACTTATATTATCATTATCACTGTTATCCCATTCTTTTATCCTCAAGCTAGTTGTTTCTCACAAATTTGATTCACTACATCGGTTAGAATCATTAAAATGATATATAAATTATAAAAGTCAATGAAACCTACACTTCACATACTTATTATCTTACCTTCTAGCACTGAACCTTCAGGAGCATCTTTATATGCTCATTTGCAGGCGGCTTCAATTCCTTCAGAAGCATATCTGAAAAAACCCACTAAAGCTATCAAACAGATATGTTTCAATAACATATATAGACCAACTATAGAAGCTGGGTACAACATTTTTCTTGTAATGCAAAAATAATAAATTATGATATTTTAAGCGGATAATAGTGATGAAGAAATTACCTTTTGGATAGATCGAAAGGCATACATATCTGGGCAAGTAGTTTCCTTAGAATTGCAGTTTTCCCATAGGCGTCCTTGATCAGATCATGTTTTCTGTTTCAGAGAATTTGGAGTAAGCATCAAACTTTGATAAGCAGTATCATAGATTGGGATAAAATATCGTTATTTTCACTTTCGTTATAATTGATTTGAGATTCTCTACTTTTGCAAAAACCTCAGCTACCAAACTCTCTTCCTTCCGAGGTTTCGCACTCACGATTCACTGACATCCATATACATAAATAACAATTCCAAGAATTGAAGGTAATTACCTCTATGAGAGTGAGCAAGAGGCGTCTAGCGGCGTCACGGATGGGCTGTTTAGCGTTGCCTAACCTTTGCCTAACCTTTCAACGACAACGGCAGCGAACACATTGAATTGGAGCTTGAAGTGGTCGCCAGCTCGAACGCCTGAAGCGTGCCCTGCGAGACCTTGAAGCTGCTATCCTTCAAGAGATTGAGGCATCATTTGACGAGCAAAGTGACTTAGGCAGAACTGAAGCTCCTCCTAGAAACTTCGAGAACCTTGGGGAGGCGCTCCACACCAACCATCCTCTCTCCTTTGCGTACTTGGCGCGTGGGATTTCAAGGGCTTCCTCCATGGCGGAGCGTTCGAATCTGTTCGAATCTATCGCGGCCGCGTGCAGACCTGAAACAACCGTTCCCGGATTCACCATCGGTTGGACAAAGAAAGAGAGTGGAGGTGAAGAGTGGAAAGACAAACTCGTCTCACTGTGGAGAGACAGCAGAGAGGGAGGCAAAGGAGGTCATGGTTGCGGAACTTGGTCACATGCACTGGTGTTTACGTTTTCTAAGTGGGATGAAGTTTTAGAGTTTTTGATTTGGGAGAAGATTTGGTGAGTGTAAAAAGGTGGAAGAAATTGGAAAATATGATAATAAGTTAGAAAGATTATAATTTATGTTGGATATAAACTTCTTAGAAATTAAAACTTCTACTATTATTATTATTTTTATTATTAACTTTTAGACAATTTACTAAAATTACTTTAAATTATGTTAGTTTGAGGAGGTTTCCGTAAAATAACCTCCAATACCATATTTTTTTTAGTACAAGTAGGTAACGGCTTATTAAATTATTGGTTCATTTTATGAAGACCTAATTATAAGTTCCTATATGTTGAAAAATTTTAGGTTGATGACGTCTAATGCTAATAATGTCCTTATACATTAAGAAAAAACACTAAAAATAACAACTAATTTCAAAAACAAAAATAATTAATCAATATATATATAAATTAATTTAGATATCATTTAATAAATTAAAAAATATTGGTACCTAAAATAATTTATAAATAAAAATTTATAACTTATTTATGAATTAGAGTTTGAATTAACATTAATTACTAAAGTTTTAATTATTAAAAAATTAATGTTTAAATTGGTCTTTAATTTAAAATTAAAAATAAGAAGTAAGTAAAACTTTAATAACTAATTTTAGAAACTAAATTAAAAATCTAATTCACAAAAAGTTATGATGGATATTCGTAATTGAGACTATTTTAAATAGTGTTTTATAATAAAAACTAAAGTTTTTGAAGAAGAAATCTAAATTTTGTTTTATTTTTTTATTTTAGCCTTTTTACAATAATGTGTTGGAAAACATATTATCCTAAAGATAAGATAAAAAAATATAGAAGGAAACGTTAACGAAGTGAATTCTAAACAAGTGAAAATGAAACATTTTATCCAATGAAAATGTAAATTTCAAATATTCTGGTGGTAGTAATAATATAGTATATGCAGCATCACAATATGTAAACACGCCCAAACCATTTGAACTGCGGAAAAAAGATAATACAACAGAAGCTAAGCTGAATCAGAAAAGGAGAACAATTGCAATCTTCAAGCGATTCAGTATATATGCTGAAGTAGTCAATTGAAATCCATTGAAGTGATTGGCAACAGTGGATGCGTCCCTCTGCGTTGACGTTGCAGCCATGTGTCTCTGAACCGGCTTCTGAAAATGATGAAGAGATGAATGACGAACCAGAGTGTGTAGACAAAAAAACGTAATGATTCCCAAGTGTCAGGTAGCAAGAGCAGCAGCAAAGAAATCAAAGAGAGTGAAGCAAAGGCGTGCATGAGAGTGCGAAGGTGATGAATCCTAATGCCAAAGTTGAGGATACCCAAGAAGGCCAAGCAATAGAGAAGAAAGGTAGCAACGGAAAGCCAAATGGTCTTTGGATGAAGGAGAAAAGGGTTGGGATTTTGTGCATATCTGATTTGGAGAAAACCAAGCAGAACAAAGAAGATGAAAACAACAAGGGCATGAACAGAATTGGTTTCTGTGTTAAATACTGTCATGTATGCTATATTAAAGGTCACTCTATTACCTCTGAAAACAGCGAGTCTTGGCCTTACAACATCAGCCATGAAAAACTTCTGGTGTTGCTGACACTCCAAAAGGCCAAAAGTTTCAGACAGACAAGAGCTAAGGGATATGCGTACTTCTGCAATGTAAGTGCAAAATATATAAAGGCGAGAGTGCAGTATGTAAGTCGGTGCATATTTCTCTTCCTTTCCTCGAAAATTCCTACGGGGGACCCTCCTAAGTTTCATGAGCGAGACCGTTTCATGAGCGACCACCAAATGATAAATTGTGCATTTGGCCGTCGTGAATAGTCAACATTTCAACAAACATGCTCCTTCAATCTTGGTGCACAAATCAAATCAGTGTAAACAGTGAATTCCCTTAAAGGTTTAAAGGTTTAAGGATGTGTTTGCTGACACTCCAAACCCACATATACTAAGAAAACAAGAATAAAAGTTAAAGAAAAATAAAATACAGCATATAAAATATTTAAATCTTCTATATTTCTTTTATTTTTATCTTTTAAATAATTATTTTTTCTTTTAAATAATTATTTTTTTAATTTAAATAATTATTTTATCATTAAGTAATTTAAAAAATACATCTATTTGTTTGTTTTATGGTTTTATTAAATTTAACATTTTTTAAGCTAAAATAATACTTTCAATAAAATTATGAAAAATTATTTATGTTTATTTTTATAATTACAATAATAATAATTTTATTATACAAAAATAAACACATATACATAATTAGTGTCTTTTGACTATTATATATATATATATATATATATATATATATATATATATAGTATTTCCCGGTAAACTCATAAATAGAAGGAACAATTAACTCTAAAATTTTCTGGAATAGCACGTTTTAAGGTTTTAATTAATCAAACTAATAGTAATTTTATTATCTGCACTGGTAAGTGTC